CTTTCTTCACCATGTCCTCTGATATGCCGCCAAGGGCCTGCAGCTCTCCTCCCTGTACAGCCCACTCATTCTCACCTTTCTCCATGTTCCCTTCTGTCTCATCAAATGCTCTCGTACACGCTGAATGCTGTGAAATAGGAAAACCGACTAATGTAGCACGCTGCTGCTGTAAGTCAAGGTAAAAGCAATAATCACTCGTTGATGTTTTTAATTAAACCTAGACGCGTTAGAGAAGAATCCTTCCTCTTTAATATATTATAAATCTTCTAAATGTATCATTTTTACTTTTATTATTACAGTTACAATTAATATTGAGTTACTGAACATTAATGGTATCATCACTGCCTGTTCATTGCCCCTTGGTGAAACTGTATTGCCATTACATTCTTAACATTGACCTGCCAGGAGCCACCGACACACAGCTCGATTGTATAATGTGTGTGTGTATGTGAATGAATGGGAAAAGATTAGGGGGGGCATTTGGTCACTCTCAGCTGCTTGGGTCTGCATTTCTACTCCTCCAGCTATGGGTTGCTATAGAAACAGCTCTCTCAAAGGAAGTCTAGCCATCTTATTTCAGGTCTCAAAAACCAGGACCTCCCTCGCCGTTTCACGTCCAGCCGTGCTCGACCTCGAGGTCAGATGAGCCACCTGCTACCGTGTGCTTTTCAGAGGTCACACACAGCCAAATGAAAAACAGCCAGTTTACTATTAATGAGTAGAGGCTTGCTACTCATCACTGTTACAGAGCCAAGGACTCAATGCAATATAAAAGAACTTGTTTAGTTCGCTCATGTGTTAAAACAACACATTTAAGTGTTATAAAACAAATCCATAAAGCTATACAGATGCTGATAATCCTGGTACCTAGTACGTTTCATGCATGTTGATTAACAGACATACGATCAGCTACGATCCCTAGAGTAAGATTTTTATTAAAGAGATCTACTCATTTCCACCGCAGTTTTCATAATCCTGGTCAACACTAGGTGCAGCACTCACAGCTCCCCCGACTCTAAACTGCTCCCAAATAACCTGTGACATGTTTTAGTTTTACACAAGACTTCATATTTCTGTTGCCCAGGGGTGTCGTCTGGCAAACAGCTAATAGGAGCATAATTGTATATGTATATGCCTTGGTGCCACCCTTCCAGTTCATCTCCACCTTTTTCGTTTTTGCTCACTTTCCTCTCTTTGTGACAAATTTCTTCTAACATGTAAAGAGTTGGTTTGAACAGTGGGTGAATGGGGCTTCTGTATTTGATATTACTAATGTCACGTAGAGCCAAGAGTAGAAAAATACAGTGTGAAATGGAGCATTTAGAGGAGTACATGCGTATATAAACTGACCTTCTTATTTAACGTGTTGGCCATGCTTAATATAAACATCCAACATGTCCAACAGAACACATAAGATAGAAAATGAGGAGATATAATGATTGGTTTCTTTTAAGGGACCTTTGCTGTAACCGTCTCGGTCACTGTCTGCACTTAATGAGCTCACAGTTATTTCTATTTGCAACATTTCAGCCAGACAGACCTTATCACGCATGAATTTTTCATGACACAGGGAATCGCTTCTGACACCAGTGTTCAGGCTCTGAGTATACATCCTCTCTGGAGAAGGATGTAATGAACATGGAACACCTCCCCCTCTGTAAGCTCCCAGCATGTGTGTTTTTTTCTAATTAAATCTCTGCGGGGTTTCAGAAAGACTGCATTTTTTTGTTCTGTACCCCGTGTTCCCACCAGATTCCCGTTTGGAGGTACAAATATGGCACATGGGTATCGCTCTTGCCCACGTGAAAGGTTTAATAACGTGTATCTTGCAAGATTTTTTGGAAAATAGCTCAAATTATGTAAAAAAAAAAAAGACAAAAGAAAAACAAAAGTACGTATAACATTCAAATAATCTACACAAACGTTATATAAGAGAGAGCGTGCGTCCCTGTGATCGATCTACTCCACACACTGCTTCCCATCACACACCTGTGGGATGAAAGTGACCATACTTTCAAACAGCTCTGTTTTACATAAAGTCTATTACCCACCAAAACCCCACATTAAACCTGCCTGTGCAGGAGGCTGGCTCCTGTTTGGGCCACACATTTTCATCCTCAGTGTCCACTTTCTTCACGCTCCTTTGCTGTTTTGGCTCAATAAAACAAAAACATTTGATAAGACTTGTCTAGAGATCAGCTTTACGCTCACTGAGAGCAACAAATAAATAAAATAAACGTGAATGTACAAAGCGCTGCTGTTCAGATGACGCATAAGAAGCTTTTCTTTTTAAAGCAGTGTGAGCTCTGAACTAGTGTGGACATGGGTTAAAGGGGATGCGAGAACAGAAGCAGAATTTCACCACTTCCTCTTCCCGTCTCCATTAACAGCATCATTATACTCCTTATGCTTCTATGGCAACATTTTCCACCACTGATTTAGTGGGCCAACGTAATCTATAACAGTATATTATGATGGGTTGTTTTATACTACAAATTAATTCTGCAACAAAATAATTTTTTAATAAAAAAACAATTAAAAAGTAGAAAATACTGAGTGCAAGAAGTACATCTTTTATATACAGTTTATCATCAAACCCTTTCCTTTAGTTGCAGTCTGAATTATTTCACTGTTAGTTAAATAAAATCGTGTTTTTCACAGGTTGAATTTACCTTTAATTTGACTCAAACTCATAAATCATACATAACAGGTAATAATAATAATGAGAAACACTGAAGAAAGGAATCGTAATGATAACAAAAAGTAGACAGCTCTTATTGGGAATTGTAATTTAACGCCAGAAATCATTATGCCTCTTCTTACAGCAGGTCTCACTTTCTACTTTAAAAAGACGATACGTCATTTTGAAATGAAACCTCTCGAGTACATAGAAGGAGATGGCAGCACCGCACGGTTTAAGCGAACAAGGAAGGGAAACGCAGTAAGCCAGTCAACTCGTTATCAGTCAGCCCTAAAACGGCCCTTTAATTAAAAGCAGGAGGTAATGAACGCGCTCGGGAGTCTGATTAGCAGCTAATGCCCCTTGCTGGGAGCTGATGGGCTTCCCCGTCTGCCCTTTTAAAGCCGGACTGAATGGCACAATACTGTGTGTGTAGTGACTCACCAGAAGAAGCCATCAACCGCAGCAGTACACCTCTGGATTAAAAACTGTAACGCCTCGGGATTTACAGACTTATAAAGTGGCTTGGAAGTGTAAGTGTTGAATATGTTTTACATTAGGAGGGCTCTTTTTTTTGAACTTCTTCTCACTATCCTCTCTGAGGATGAATCACCTCAGTGGTTGGCATAATAATAAGCCAGTCAGCTACTAACACCCTCAGCAAGCCAGCAGGGAATAATAATAATAATGATAACAATAACTAGATAGATAGATAACGTCAGTGCTAAGATGAAGCTCAAAGTGTAATTAAAACTGTAAGTGCAAACAGGTAATTACATCAATACAAACGGCTAAAATTGTTAGCTAGATGCATTTAACAGAAATGAGCATGCTAACAACGTCACATTCTACCACCGGATGTAGCACGAATTCAAACAAACACAAGTTTCTTCGTATGAAAACATGACAGCGTGAACATGTCATTACTAACCAGTTGACTGTGTAGCAAGAATAGGCCAGCGTGCTCTGCTAGAGCACCACTGTGTGGAAAACGAGGACTGTCAGTTACCGATTACTGTACTTTATTTGGATTGCGGTGTTATATTTTGTGCGTAATCTATTTGTGATGATAACTTTGGGGGATATTATGCTGCCTTTGCTAGAGCAGCTAAAGTAATATTTAACTAATGCAACACTTAGTTGATTATTGCAAGTTAATTTAGGGACTAGACAGCAGCTTGTCCATGAGTTAGGTAGCTAAGAAGTATTAATTTAGCTGATTTAATATTTCACCACAAATATTAACTTCAAATTAATAATCACAGTTTTCATTGTGGTGCATAACGACACATCGTGTTGCTGTTCTTAGGAACAAAATCCTTTCCATCAATATCCTCTACACAGTGCAAAGTGTATGCTTGCAGACAGGGTCACTCTCTGTCAAGTGAAGGCTGTCTGCGCTCTGTTTTATTCCAAAGCTGAAGTCTGCCGACGCAGTAAGAGCTGCTGAGAACTGTTCTCTCAGATTTTCCGAGACACAGTAAAGGTATGAATTAAAAAAACAAAAAACAGTACGCATATTTTAAATGAGCTTAAAGGCAGCAAGTAAAGTTAGATAAAAGCAAGTGGAACAATCCACAAGAACAGTATTATTTCCAGAGTAAGATCATTAATCGGTTAGGTTGGGCTTATTATTTAATCCTCCACATCTTTATCACACTGCCTCCTACACGACGACAGTTCTCTTTGTAGCATCTATTATTATCCCATCGAGTTCAGACATCTATAGAGTCAGTTGGATCTGGAGCAACCCACTCAGAAGCATACGTGGTGTCAGCTGAAAGCTCATCAAGGCCTGGGTACTAATCCAGCCATCCATGTCGAGCCAAACAATGTTCAAATCTCCCCAAAGTCTCCAAGCCATTTTTGTCTAGGATACAGTAATCCCTTGGTCTCTGTGCTGCAGAGTGAGCATGCATTTGAATATATTAAAACCTCCACCAAGGAGGTGATAAGCTGAATTTGAGCTCCTAAACCAGACTGCTATTAAGTTTCCTGTGAAAGTTTCACCCAAGGTTGTTCAAAGAGTTTCACTGCAGAGCTCTCAGAGGGCTGACAATGGGTTATCCTTGGTGCATTGGGCTTCTCTGGCATGCTTAGTGAAGTCTGTCCCTGTCATCTTCACAGGGAGGACATACATATCTAACTTTGTGCCCATTTGTAACTGTTAAAAAGGTGGAATCTGGAGGTGTATAGACACAGTGACTGCAAGCAGTGAATGTAGATCATAAACATGTGCAAAGAAAAACATAAAGGCACATATAAGTAACAATATAAATGAATTTAAGTTTAATATAAGAGCATTTAAAGATGATGTTACCTTCCAGAAGTTGTCCACCTTGCCATAGACTAGTGACTGATTCTGTCTCTTAACGTCATCGATGTGCTTGATGTCACTGGCGTTGAGGTGCTGCTCCACAACAAAGCCCAGGAAACTGTTGTCTGGGGTGTGAGCTGCGACAGAACGGGGGAAAGAATATGTGAGCAATTCTACAGAATTGGTGTCATTTGTACCTGACAAAGGTCAGCTTTGCATTTATGTGTAAAGCTTTTTTGGTGCCATGTGACATCTATCTTTGTCAGCACACCACGTGGCATCGTTCAACATTAACCATGAGACTTCATTGTTAACTGTCCTGAAAACCTGGGACTGACTGACTGAAAGACCACGTGCACCTAACAATAACTAAACAATAAATTTTATTTAGAAGACTCTGATGATGTCACTGCATCAGGGCTTGAATATGAAAAACAAACAAACAAACAAACAAACAAGGAGGACGATAAATGTTTTAATTTCTCTAAAAATAAAACACACTTAAATTGATCAGAGGTGAGCTCTGCCGGGAGAGAGACCAGCGAACACTGCATCCTGGTTCCTTTCATTCCACTTCTACTCAGCGTTGAGTGCGGAGCCTGAAGCTGGCAGCGTTTTACCTCACTAGCATCTGCCTTGTAAAACAAGTGTGAAGACAAGGGTTTGGAGCGCGGACAGGAAAGGCTCAGTCAGGAATTAAATGGCCTAATAACATCATTTAAAACGAAATAACGGAGCACTACAAAGCAGCCCGTGCCTTCACCTCTGGAAGCGAACGGAGCGAGGTTGTGTTGGGGAGGCGGCTGGCTGTGCATTTGTGGTTTGAGCTGGAGCTCCGGGGAGCCACTGCAGTCAGAGCTTGTTCTTACCGCAAGCTTATTACTACAAAGGCAAACTGAGGTCAGTCAGTCAGGGGAGACGGAATGAGCTTCAGGGCAGTAAATAAGGGAAAGATTGAGAGAGGAATTCAACTACCTGCCAGCACTTAAACAACTCAAGTTCAAGCGCTGCAATTAAACTGTGGATTAATAATACTTTATGTAACATGAAGGAATATATTGTGACTTTTGACACGTGATGGCAGGAATACAGAAAGCATGACTTTTCTCAGTTCTACAAGTAAAACTGACGTGTTCTTTGTCATGGTGATGGGTGGATTGGTACAGCATCCCGCTTAAGAAAGAGACAGTGTTTGCTTTTGCCATCTCACCGGGCAGGTCACATATTGGCTCACGCTTAATACGTTTAGGCAAACAAAAAAAAGAAAAGGGAATGGCTATGCAGAGTAAAGCAACAGTCCACGCAACTCCTGAACGATGGCAAAAATATGCAGTCACATCCTTTTCTGCAATGACTTGAAAAGGGCGCAAGGAGACAGCAGTTGTTACGGTCTGCCTGAACATAAAGCAAATACAGATTTCAAAGTTTCCATGACTGTGCTGAAATATTTCATTTGGGACAGTCATCACACGCGCCTCACCCGTTACACGTCAAACTCTTCACTTTGGGGAGATGCACAGATAAGCAGCTTATTCTTTGGGCAAAGTGCTGCTTGGCGAGGGTAGAACACTATCATGCGATTTCAATTCCTGTCTATTACAGTCAAAACTATTGCTCTTCACTTCCTAACATGAAAACACAAAGGAACCTTTGACCCAACATTACAGGTGATTCACTTTGTGTGAGGAGTGTGGGAGAGTGCAATAACGTGGGAGTAGCTGTTGTGGAGATATTGCCACGTCTGTACGAGGTGTCAGTGTGGGAAGGAATCAAGCGCCACTCCCACAATACACAGTGTAAGGTCAACATAAAATTGCTGATAAGCACCGATCTCTTTAAGCATGAGAGCCCTTCCCTGTGACATTTAAAGGAAATTTGACAATAGATGGAAACTGCCACATCCCAAAGACTTAAAATTCAGGATTTCACATCCTGTTACTTCAGTTGTGACCTTTTTGTGTGTTCATTTGTGAGTCAGTCAACATTATCTGTGGATTATCCCTTTAATCTCTTTTACTCAGCTAACTGTCGTCTGTGGGAGGGAAAGAATCAGAGAATAAAATGTATATTTTTGATCATCGTTACTGTGTTATGGTCATTGTACTGCTCCTTGTTTATTGGTGTAATCCTTTAATCCTTTGCATTTATGTTTCCTGAGTCCCTTCCTTTTTAATGTCCTCCTATATTTATGGGCTCAAAATGTGGTCATAAATATTTTGTACTTGTAAAAAAGATTTGTATGTGTAAAAAGAATTTGTATGTGTGTAAAAAAGATTTGTATGTGTAAAAAGAATTTGTATGTGTGTAAAAAAGATTTGTATGTGTAAAAAGAATTTGTATGTGTGTAAAAAAGATTTGTGTGTGTAAAAAGAATTTGTATGTTTGTAAAAAAGATTTGTATGTGTAAAAAGAATTTGTATGTGTGTAAAAAAGATTTGTATGTGTAAAAAGAATTTGTATGTGTGTAAAAAAGATTTGTATGTGTAAAAAGAATTTGTATGTGTGTAAAAAAGATTTGTGTGTGTAAAAAGAATTTGTATGTGTGTAAAAAAGATTTGTGTGTGGACTGTGTGGACAGTTTGAAGCTGGAGGATCTCTGTGTAAATGATAGAAGCTAGGTCCCGTAACTTTCAGCAGTTGTTGAAAGGATAACGTTGTGTTATATCAGTGGTTAGAAATACCATTATTACTTTAGGATTAGTTTAACACAAAGTCAGGGCTGACCCGGGACCATGGCTGTGAGCCACAGTGGGCAGCATAAAAGTCCTTTCACATCGGACGCAGGATGTGCTGCTAATGCTAACTAAAAGCAAAGGATCCAGAATTTGTTGCGCTGGCTGCTGAGCTCTGTGGGTTTTTGCAGCAGCTCTACCTGTACTAGATGCACCTGCTGCTTGTCTTTTCTATCTCTGACTTTATGTCCTCTACAAGAGTTTCTGTTTTTTTTTTGCTAGTTCTTCAAATGTTCAATAAAAACATGTATGCTAATTCATAACAAAGAAAGCTTTGTAATGAAGACCCCCCCCCCCCCCCCGCGGTCCGCAGTGCTGTTGAAAAGGCTGTGGAAGTCCCTGTATTAAACACGTAGACCTGTGACACACCACCAACCTCGGACGACCACAGACTGTTTTCCTTCGTGGTGATGAAGGAAAACGCTGGGTTGGCATGTAAAAGGGCATTTATTCCCTTCAAAGACCTGCAGTTCAAAAAAAGCGCCCCTCCGACAGCCAAACCCATCTGTTCTCTGATTGGATTGTTACATTTGTGATTGACATGACCATTGAACAATCAGATGAAAGGAAGAAAAATAGGGTCAAAATTCGTACAAAATTTGGCATTAGTAACTTGCAGTCCACACACAAATCTTTTTTACACATACAAATCCTGATTTACAAGTACAAAATATTTATGACCACATTTTGAGCCCATATACAGGGTGGGCCATTTATATGGATACACCGTAATAACATGGGAATGGTTGGTGATATTAAAGTCCTGTTTGTGGCACATTAGTATATGTGAGGGGGCAAACTCCTGAAGGTGGGTGGTGACCATGGTGGCCATTTAGAAGTCGGCCATCTTGGATACAACTTTTGTTTTTTCAATAAGAAGAGGGCCATGTGACACATCAAACTTATTGGTAATGTCACAAGAAAAACAATGGTGTGCTTGGTTTCAACGTAACTTTATTCTGTCATGAGTTATTTACAAGTTTCTCTTTGTTCACAGCCATCGACATGTCGAAGAGGTTAACACGTGAGGAGCGGATCGAAATTGTGTTGATATCTGGTGAACGCAGTAACCGGGTCATTGCAGCAGATTTCAGTGCAAGACACCCTACGAGACCACCCATCTCCCATGCTACAGTTAGCAAACTGCTTGCTAAGTTTTGTGAAACTGGTTCAGTGTTGGATTTGCCAAAATGTGGACGCAAGAAAACTGTCAGTAATGAAGAAACATCAGTGGCTGTCCTAGCTTCATTCAGCAAGAGCCCACAGCGTAGCACTCGCCGCATGTCATTGGAGAGTGGCATTAGTCAAACATCCCTTCGGCGGATATTAGCTACTCACAAATGGCACCCTTACAAACTCCAGCTACTGCAGCATCTCAATGAGGATGACCCAGATCGGCGCACAGAATTTGCAGAATGGGCAAAACAAAAATTGGAACAGGACCCTCAGTTCACGCAGAAGATTTTGTACAGTGATGAGGCAAACTTTTATGTGAATGGTGAAGTTAACAAACAAAACCACCGCTATTGGTCTGACACTGACCCACATTGGATGGATCCCTCCAAGACTGTTGGAACAACAAAAGTGATGGTTTGGTGTGGTATGTGGGGTACAACGATAGTGGGTCCATTCTTCATCAATGGAAACCTCAAGGCCACTGGATATTTGAAATCGCTACATGATGATGCGTTTCCCTCTTTATGCACTGAAGCTGGCACGTTCCCTGAGTTTTTCCAGCAAGATGGTGCACCGCCACATTATGGGTGCCAGGTCCGAGCATTCCTAGATGAACAGTTTCCTGGAAAGTGGATTGGTTGTCGTGGGCCAGTTGAATGGCTCGCAAGGTCTCCCGATCTGACCTCCTTAGACTTTTATCTTTGGGCTCATCTGAAGGCAATTGTCTATGGTGTGAAGATACGAGATGTGCAGCACCTGAAACTACGGATGCTGGATGCCTGTGCGGGCATTTCTCCTGCGGTGTTGCTATCAGTGTGTGAAGAGTGGGAGAAGAAGGTTGCATTGACAATCCAACACAATGGGCAGCACATTGAACACATTTTATAAGTGGTCAGAAACTTGTAAATAACTCATGAAAGAATAAAGTTACGTTGAAACCAAGCACACCATTGTTTTTCTTGTGACATTACCAATAAGTTTGATGTGTCACGTGGCCCTCTTCCTATTGAAAAAACAACAGTTGTATCCAAGATGGCCGACTTCTAAATGGTCACCACCCATCTTGAGGAGTTTGCCCCCTCACATATACTAATGTGCCACAAACAGGACTTTAACATCACCAACCATTCCCATGTTATTACGGTGTATCCATATAAATGGCCCACCCTGTATAGTCCCTCCAATCCTTCTTTTACTTTACTTCCTACTTTTTTTTGCAAGTCAGCTGC